CCCCACCCAAGTGCAAATGCTTCTGGAAGATCTTGGTGGTTTTAAAACAGAAACCAATTTTTTTAAAGATATTTTTCATCTATTCTACGGAAGGTGAACCTGCACCACTAACATAAATTTGACCTTAGTTTCAGTTCATCCCACTCTGAGTGTATAAAGGCACAAAGCAATTTTACTTAAAGCTTTCGCATAAAATTCCTGGGACGGCTGCGAATGAGCAGATGGGATGGGGTGCAGGAGATCCCTCAAAAACTCTCATCCCTGACACTGTTGTGTTTAACAAAGTGCAGCCCCGGGAACAGCAGCATTTCATAGGAGTGACGGAGGGATTCGCTGTCTTTCGACGGAGTCCACACTGAGAAAGGCCCACTGTCCGCCTGCACAGCCTCCAACGCACAGACCTGGGCTGTGTGCAAACAGCTGTCCGCTCAGAGCACTCTGCAGAGCGGAGAACACTGCTCACAGTCAAAAGCTGAAATGCAATTCGAAAGCAAATACGAAAAGAGAAGCAGGAGGAAGTAGGAGAACAGGATGTGATATTATTCTGGTAAAACTAAAATTATGTGACGTGAATAAAACTATTTGAAGACTTGATAACTGTGTAAAAATAAATATTTAAGTCAAAGACCTACTCTTCTAGTAAAACAGTTACAAAAATAGAATATCATACTAAATGAATACGCAATATACCAATGTGAACTGGTTAGAACTATTTTACATTGAACTATTTTACCATTGAAAAAATCATTTCTCTCCCCTCCACATTCTTCTCTCCAATAATGTTGTTCTTGAAGAGGGACATTTGATAAAACACCGAAAGCTTTGGAAGACTTGTCGTCATGGACTCAGTTTCTCTCATAAGGTTCTGAATCTGAAGGCTGTTTTCTTTACTCTGGATGCTGTGAGCCAGCTCAGCATCTGGTCACACCAACTCCGTATCAACAAGGATCTGACCCTGGACTCCCAGCCACCCGGAGGCTGCCCCTCCTGGCAAACATGCCCTTTGCACAGAGCTGAACTGGTGCCACTTCTGGGCACGGATGACACACGGCAGGGCGGGGCCTGAGCTGCAGAGCCCAGACCCCGGCTTCTTCCTGGAGATTCCGCACAGCTAGGAGCCGGAACGCTGATGACAGGACCTGCCTCTCCAAAATGGTCCCCGTACAAGAAAAGGACTTCAGCAGTATTTCAGCTCCCACTCATCTTTTCATGGTATTTGCGCTTGTTTGCCACCCAGGGGGACTGGTGTAAGTGGAGTGACAGAGGAGCCCTCCAGTGACTGGAAACGTGCTGAGTCATTAAAGCAGCCACCAGTGCCGGGTGCACAGTGCGTGATGCTGAGAAGTGTGCATGCAGGTGCGAGCCCCAGGGATAGAGAACACCGTCTTGGGGTTCCAGAACTTTGATTCAGAGGACTGAAAGCAGTCGATACCATGGCATGCTTGGTTTTCACGCCTTTGCCTTTTTAAATTAATGTAGACATTATTAAAAAGCATCACAGTGCCTCTTAGCAAACCAGTCAAAAAGATGCCCTGAAAATATTTCCTCTGGAGGCCAGGGTGGGTCCACCTCAAACAAGGAAGCATCTCTAGGGGGTTACGGTGTGTCACTCGGCTAATTCTCCATTTCTAAGTTCCACGGCCCCATCTTCTCCGCAGCATCTCCAACCTTCGGGAGTTCCAGAAGCTTCTTCAGTGGAGCTCTTTGTTCCTGGAAAAAACAACCGTGTGGTCACTTGGGTGCACTGGACCAAACCTGTGGCAGTGATCATGGCCCTGGGGCCTCCAATCATCCAGGACATATTTCAAGGAGCCCCACTGTTGGGAAGGCTCCCCCCTGAGGAAAAGCTGTCAATCAACTCCAGTCCAGGCTGAGGCTGCAGGGCCACACATTATACTCCCAAGGCTCCCCGCAGACCTTGGTTCTGTGATATTTGCTGCATTATCTTGTATCATAGAAATGCATACCTGAGACCTATGTGATCCTATTGACCAATGTCACCCCAATACATTTAATTGAAAAATTCATACATTTACTTTTTGCATTTTAAATTTTGAAATGAAGTTGGCAGCCTTAGTAAAGAGCCATCTGGTCTCTCTCTGTCAGATAAATATCCGTCTTCTTGTAGCCTTTTCTTGGATTTTTGAAATCAGTTTCCCTCCAACTGTTCACAGGCAGTAAAGGAAATGTCTGAATGTTGGTAAAGCCAGGACGTACTGTCACAGAGTTGAAGGACAGAACAGAAAACAAGGCAGGCAGCCCAGATACATACCTGCAGGCAAACAAACCCCACCCTTTCCAAACAAATCTCCCTAAAAAGGCCCAGGGCTGACCTGAGACAGGAAAGGGGTGCCTCAAGGCTACTCAATGCTGTTCACGTAAAATGCTCAGCTAGGGACCCACCCCGTGGTGGGTCAGCAGAGAAAGGAGCAGGAGGCAGGAGTGTGTGTGTTTGCTCCTCCAGGGCATCTGTACAATGTGAGACCAGCTCTGCCCCATCAGTGCCCCGGGGCCCACAGCTTTCCTTTTTTACTGAAGAATGATGTGAAGAGAGCTGGGGAATACCTGAGATTTTTGCCTTAAAATTAAACAATGTTTATCCCAAAGGACAAGTTACCATTCTCTTATAACAATATTAAAACCAGTAACATATATCCAAAGCCACACAGCAGAGAGACTGAAATTTCGGCAGTCCTGCCTTTGCAGCAACTTGAAGGACAGGAAGATGACTAAACGCCCGCAGACAGAGAAGCAATTCTCATGAATTATACGCTGGGAAATGGAATACAAAATCACCCACGTGTAGCTGCCTGTTGCTCACAATCCCCATGGGGTCACTGCACATCCTGAGTCATTCCCCAGCTCTGAACTCTCCATTTTGACAAGTAAACATTTTACTCCATGGGGGTAATAACCTTATGAATTTGTTCTTTAATCTGGATAGTATATTTTAATTTTAATTGATAATAATACCTCTACCTACCAATGAGACAAAAACCTCCATGTAAAATATATTTGTTTTTATTTTCAGTTAGAAAGCAAACCAACTGATTTTCTGAATTTTTCATGAAATCCTGTAATAAATTTGTATGAATTCCAACACAAATGTGCTGATAAACTAGAGAAAAATTTCAGCTTGCATTCCTGCTCCCACAGCTTCCAGAAGTGATGGAATTAGTCTCAAACAAGTAACCCCATGAGGACAGGTCGGCTGCCAGAGGACCCTCAGCCGAGAAAGGGGTGGAGGCTGCTCTGCGCTCAGCTCTCTCCACTGGACCTTCTTCACGGGAGTCCACAGGGGTCCAACCAGGGGGCTGTGACCAGAAGCAGATGTCGCCTCAGTCCCAAGGAGCTGGACAGCCAGTCACTCATTTCCTCCTCCCAACCCTCCAACTAGCCAGACGTGGGTCTCCTGGGGTAAAGTTCCCAGGACTCCAGCCCTGTTCTGGGTCCAGGGGAGTAAACGTGTGAAGCAAACGTATGCAGTGCTGGTGGCTGCTGAGGCAGAGAAAGTTGGGCCGGCTCGGTGACTCTCCCTTTCTCTGCTCAAATGGGAGGGGACACTGCCCGCCCCCCAGGTCCCCCCAGGATCGAGAGAGAGGCAGAGGGCGACCCCATGAACCTCTGTTCTGCATAACTTCACTCTCTGCAGTTCCTGTCTGTTCTCTCTGCCTTGACATCAACGGCTCCCATGTCAGGCTGACCACACTTCTTACACTTTCCTAGGCTCAACCCTAACCTCAGGGCCTTGGGAAGGTTCCTTCATGGGCTGCACCCCAATTCTGCTCAGGATGCTGCTTTGACGTTGGAGCCCTGGGCCTGGATGGGTCTAGGTTTGGAGGAACCGGAGCTGAGTCTTTTATGTTCCTGTTGTCGAGTTTTGTTGGGGTTTGTCTGTGCATTGCTTGTTCTCAGCACATTTACCCTCCAGTCCACCTGCCATCTGTGCCTAAAGCACAGGAGGGACCTACTTATAAACGTACATGTTACATTTCCAACAGATAGTGCTGCTTTCTTTTCCTTTTCTGGGTTCCAATCAGGAAACCCGGATACACAGATACCTGACTATACAGAGCACAACGTGCAGAATCGGAGACCCTCCCTCTGCCTTCCTTTTATGGACAATGGATGCCCTAAGTGCAGGGTGGTGACTGACAGAAGACAGGCCTCCCAGGCCCCAGGTCAGGGCTCTGTGCACCTGGCCATATCCCTCTGGGACCACCTGAGCCCCTAAAACTTGCACCCTCCACACCAAGATACCCACAGTGCCTGCATCTCATCTCATTGCCAAGAAGAGAATCTATGAAAAACACAAGTAAATCCTTTCTGTACTTAAATGTTGACTACCCATTTATATCCACTGGGAGCTTATGCTAGTGGCAATTAATCTTCAATAAATTATAAGAAGGAACTTAGGTCAGGATCCCTCCAGGTCCAAAACAAACAATGACCTCTTCTCTCCTTGTTAACTTTCACACCTGAACTAGGACCATGGCCCCTCAGGGACCTTACCAGGTGTCTCTTCCATTCTCACACACAGGTGAGCTGTGACACACAGTCTGTGGCGCCTCCCCCAGCAGCCTAAACACTGACACTGTGTCTTCAATTAGTTTATGTCGAGGGCAGACAAAATACTTCCATCACATGATTTTAAAAAATTATACCAAGTTGTCATTGAAGGATAGAGAAGAAAAGATACTGTAATCTCTAAATTCTTGGTTCTCATAAGAGAACCCTGAAAAAGTGCAGCCTCCTCTCCCTTCTCTGTCCCTGGAAATGCCCCCACAAGTGCCAGGAAGGGGGTACAGGTGACGGTGGGGACCAGCGCTCCTTAGCTCCTCAGCGGAGAACCGAGATCAATCCTGGGCCGGTGTCATAGGGCAAGAAGCAACCTCGGGTATGGCCCTCAGAGGCACATGAGCTATAGAGTTGGGGCCACGCAGAGCTCAAAGGCACAGAGATAACCTGGTCCAGCGCCCAGTTCACCAACCAAAGCTCCTTGTACACTGAGCTGCCCCAGGGACAAAGCTCTCAAACAATGTGAAACATATCTGGCCAAAGAGAGATCTGTCCACGAAATGAACGCCTAACTGCCCACAAGGCCCGGTAGGGCCTCCTCCCAGCGTCCGCTGATCAAGGCCTCCAGGCTGTGTGAGGCCCGCCCTCCAGGGAGAGTCAGCTCTGATATAACCCCCGGACGCCCCAAGTCACGCGGGAACCAGGGCTCCGGGCTATTTCCAAGGCAGACATCATAACAGCAGATGTACAGCTGCGTTCTGGCAGCGCTTTAGTCCGAGTGTTTTCTCTTCCCATAGAAATGAACCAACCGGCTGGTGCTACGCACAGAATCAGGTTCCAGGCTGTCAGAGGAAAGGGCCTGGGACCGAGGGAACCTGGGTTGTCTCGCCCCAGACTCCGCGTCTCACTCTCCGGGTCCCTTCCCACTTCAGAGGCCTGCCCACCCGCTCCATGCAGCTCTGCCACCCACGCAGCCCTCGCAGACGCCCATGGACATCCTGTTGGCTCACCCGTGGGTCCCGGCCTCGGCGCGGTG